GGGGGGGGGGGGGGGGCACGAGGAAGGGGCAGTTACTGGAGGGGAAGTGGCTCCTGCGTTGTCTTGGCGATACGTTGGACCTGAAATGCGAGTCTTTCTCGAACAAGCACCCCTTCACACGTGTTTTGGGACAGAAGCAACGGTCTGAACCAAGCAAGCAGAGTAATAATGGTCGCCTCGGCCTATTCCGAGCGTGCACTTGGTGAGGTGAGCCTCAGATATCTTTTCTCCTTTCGTCATTTTTTCAGTAAGTCGCTGCCCGTCGTCCTTTCCTCTCTTCATGCCGCCCTAAATTTCCCGCCAATTTTACTGGCTGTTCGTTATCCAACCCACCAGGGCATTGCAGCCGCGAAAACGCTTGAAAAAGAGGGCCACCGCCCCGAACCCGCTCTCCGCCAAGAAGAGCAGCAAAGGCAAAGGCAACAGCAATAGCAGCAGCAGCAGCAGAGGTGGCGGCGGTTCCGGCGCTAAGGGTGGCGGGGCTGAAGGCGGCGCCGCGAAGGGAAAGGCGGCCGGCACGGCCGCGTCGGGAGGCTCGGGAAATCGCGTTCGTAGGAAGCGAAAAAAACCGTCATCATCGTCGGCGGCATCTGGGAGTGGCGGCGCTTAGGTTGGGTTGTTATCGTTGTGTTCGGCGGGGTGGGCCGGGAAGGAGAGGGCGCGAGGGAGAGGGAGGTTGTAGGAGGCCTGTTGGTCTGGACGATGTGTCGGTGTACGGGGTGTGGGGGTGCGAGGGAGATGGCAGTAGGTAGCCCACCCCTGAGGGCGACGATCGTGTCGCAAGGTGGGTCTTCTCCGTTCCAGACGCAGAAGTGCCGGGTGCGTTGAATGTTTTGTGGTGTGACTATGGTGATGGAGCGGATGATGGCCATGGGGGGTGTTACTGTGATACCCAGCTCGGTGGTGTTGTGATGGTTGTGATGCACTTAACGTTTTTGAGAGAAAAAAATATTGTCTAGACCTACTTGGAAGCAGTTGCATTTGGTAGTTTTTGACGATTGCAAAAAGTGGTTTCGACTAAGAATACGCATGAGTCAGTACGTAAATGGAGCGTGACTTACGAGCGGAAAAAGCAACCTTTTACCCGCCGTTTCCTGCTGCTGCTGCCTCTCCTGCAGTAGCAGGCTTTTGTGAATGTCCTACCGTCATGAAAGAAAACATGCGACTGGTAAATCTACTGCTCGAAAACCACGCACTGGTCTCGACAGCAAGCGCACCTGGCCAATACTGGGGATGAAAGGCTGATCGCCTTTCCTTAGGTAAAGCCCGCCCCTTTACGAAAACAGCGTGGTTTTCCACCGGGACCCGATCGGCCGCGTTGTTGGTACGTGTCTATTTGCAGAGATTTCAGGCGACAGATATTGTAGGCGACACAAGCCTCCGTGTCTTCAGCCGTGAAGGTCTGATTCGTCTTCCGCCGGTCTTGACTGCGATCCGCTGAGAACGTCGTGCGTGTTCGAGTCTAGCTCGGGAGAGAGTAAGACGTGCTCCGCGGGGAAGGCATAGAACCTAAACTTCTGCTCCCACGCCCCCCACGGGTCCTGACAGGGTTGTGAAACCGGCGTTTCGCGAGACATTACGAGGTCGTGGGGGTAGTTACCCGACGTTTCGCGGTGGCTGAGCGCAAGAACATGAGGTGCGTGTGTACAAGGTTTGGTGTTGCCACAAACATTTCGGTGCCACATGTTTCTTGCGCAAGCGTGTTGGCCTCCGGAACATCTATCCTCACGGGTCCAGTTCAGCAGCCACCTGAGCGGACACACCGCCGGAAACGCCAAGGCTCACCCCCAACTAAATAGGTCCACGCGCACAGATATTCATTGCACCTTGCTGCCCGCCGAATTAGGCACCAAGCACGCAGAACTCGTTTTTTCACCCGAAGATGCTTCACACTCGCCCTGCTTTTCTTACCAACGGGGAGGATGAAGTCAAACCACACGCCCTTCACTCTCCCATTCCACGGCAAAAACGGGGCCGCTGCGAATTTGCGTCCATCCCCAAGAATCAAGCTGCATCTACCAGGCTCAAGAGTGAAAATATCAGTGCCCCGGTCCCCAATTCATAATTGCAACCTTGCCTTCAGAGATATCCGGCACTGTTCAGGGTAAGGGTTGAGGCTGTCCGTGCTACGGATGGTGTAGTGGACGTCGAGTGCGCAGGAGCCGGGCACGGGCACGTCGAAGGCGGCAAAGCTATGCCTGGCGCCCCACCGGCAGGATGCTTCCATCCCGATGCGAGTCCGCAAGTGAGGCTCGTCCTTCTCCTCGATATAGTACCTGTTGGAAGAGTGAATTTAGTGATATTGGACGAGGGTATATTTCATTTTCATCGTCTCGTTTTCTCTCGTCTTGGCTGCGCCTCCCGCACAGCAATAAGGGGAAACGGGTCCCTAGACCACGTAATGTGTTGTCAGCCTTGCTGATAGGTAGCACCTGCCGGAAGAATGAATCGATCTGTGGTTCAATTCCACCTATTCGTTCGCCATTGATTTGGTTGTTTCTCGTGAAGAAGGAAGCGGGTAGGGTCGGGTAGACGACGTGATATTGTTGGCAGTCGCGTTGATGTGCCACTTCACGACCAGTCTGGCAATTGAAGTGTGTCACTTCCGCGTCTTCATACAGGATAGAGGCAGTCTGGGATGGAAGGGGGCGATGAGCGCAATCGGTCACCCGAGAAAGTGAAATTTGGTTTGTCATCTCACCTGCACCGATCGGCGACGGAATGTCCCCGAGGGGTGGGGTACAAGGGCAAAATGCACTCGGTGAAGGAACGACACAAGGTGCTTTGAAGGACCTACGATTACCGCCTATGAATGGTTTACCTGTTGCTCCCGGGAACCATGTCATCGAAAGCGAAGAAGGCCAGCACGCACTTCCAGCCCGGTTCCGGAGTTAAAAAGTTTCCCTTCACAACCTGCCGCACAAGGAACGGGGAAGGCATTTTTTGTGGAAGGTCTATGGGTTTGCGAGCCAGAGGCATAGTCTACCGTCATGCACGAAGCAATACGCTGATGGTGGTGCTCCAACTTGGGGTGCTCTCATGATATCAATGATATGGAGCAATCATGTGCGAATTTCCTGATTTTCGATGCTCTCTTCACATTACGGCGGTCTGTCGCTTTGGAATCCAGACGGACGAGTGAGCTTTAACATATGTTGACTTGAAACCATCGGGTCCTCATCCAAAACTTCGGTGGGAGACCGCCGGGCGGGAGAGGGTTTGGCAGAGACCCAATGGGTTCGCGTGCGAGCAGGCGCAGCAATCTGACTACAGTATCTATTTAATTATATCATCATCATATTTCGAACAACAACATCACCAACACCGGAAATAACGAAAGCGGCCAAAACAACCACATAGTAATTTTGTCTTCGAAAGACTGACCTTCTGCGCAAGCGGAGCCTTCGTGGTCTCCAGCACGTGGTACTTGGAGGCCGCGTAGGCGAAGAAGGTGAACAGCCGGGTCCACCCCCATTCCGGCTCGGAGCCTTGGGTGATCTGGTAGCGGTCGGGGCCCGACGTCCAGTGCTGCGGTGATCGCCGTTTCGCACAGCCCATCGGCGCGAAAGAGTCAAGGAACAAATGTTGCAATTCGACGGCTGCTTCAATCAGACACGGCAGATGGTCGGGGCCCATAGCCTTGCCGAGCTCGGAATAAATCCCGAGAAGTAACGTAAATGCCTCCCCCCCCTCGGTGTTTGCCATCGGGGTTGGGTTTTCGTCGCTTGGCAAAGACGTTATAAAACAAGCCGCCCCCCCCCGTGTTTGCCATCGGGGTTGGGTTTTCGTCGCTTGGAAACGACGTTGAAAAGCAAGCCAATTCACTTCGTGAACTCGGCAACCAGGTTACCGTTTGTATTTTTTTACCTCCGTTTTTTATTTTTGGCGATAACCATAGTGGTGGTCAAGTAGATCATGTTGTGTGGGGTCGAGAAGCCTCACTCCGCGCAAGGGGGATGATCGCACCACGATGTGTTGATATGGTCAAGCACCCTCGAGGCAGTTACACAGTGCTTACAACTGTCTCTGGAAGTGAAAGCACCAGAAAATAAATTAATTCATACGCAGCTGTCATCCGTACGCAAGGAAGTAAGCACAAGATGCCGAACACCCTTAGCAGGATGCAGCGCACCCTTCATGCGACTCGCCGAATATCTCACGGCGCTTCGCGCTTGGTGATGTGAGAGCCTGGTCCGGTGAGAACCCGGCGTGCTCCGTCCCGGCTTTGTAGGGATGCAAGGTCAATGGTCTAACGACTACGGCATGCACGACTATGAGTATGAGTACACCCATGCATAGATTCGCACAGTTCAGCCGAAAACGATGAGGGGAAAGTCTGTCAATCGGACGCGTCGCGTGCGCTTTGTCGGTGTGTAACCGACTACTGTGTGGTACGTGTTTGTTGCCACGACATGATGTGCCCGGGTTTTATTCGATTCGGTCGGCCCGTCTCACACGATGCATGCACTGTATTTCGTGTGCCTGATACCTCGGTGGACAAGAACAAACACGGTATTGAACAAGCACGCACGGACGCCTTCATTGTTGCCCTGCGTTCGGCTTGATGGCATGCGCGACGCAACGTGTCGCGTCGTTTTGCGTCAACACAACAGAACGATATGACGTGCGACGACCAAACCCGAAAGTTGCCCCCAGGCTACGGTAGCCCCTACATTTTCCCGTACCACGTGATGAGCGTGAGAGTTGTGCACCACAAGAGGGAACGCAAAGAAACCGGCGCCATCGCCCCCGCCGCTGCCATCCCCGCCGCCACCTGCTCCGTCGCCTCCACCGCCTCCGCCGTCCAGGTCTCCCCCCGGGATACCTACTCCGCTGTTGCCGTTGTCGTTGTCGTTTTTCTTTGCAGGCGCTCGAGCTTCCCACTTTGTGATGTCACGGGAGAACTTGAGGCCATCCCTCTGCAGACGGCAACGGAAGGGGGCCTCGGCTTCTTCCACCCAGTACCTCTGCGCGGCATGCCACCGAAGTATGTCTTGTCAGTGAAACGGCGATATGGGTGTGTGTTGCTTGTAGCGAGTTCTGGAACAACGCGGTTCGTGTGTCTTCTCTTCGGTTCCAAAATGTTTCGGTTGTGGGGCCAGATCTTCATCGCAGTCGTTCAGGTTTAGAGACCGCGCAATATTGTAGCCACACGTCCTGCACCTCAGCCAATAACGCGTCACCAGGATGTTCCGGAAATGATTTGGTTTGGCTTTGCTGGGGGGCGAGGCAGGAACACAAGTTGGGTATGTTGAGAGCGTCCGGTTCCGTGACCGCCTTACCTCCACGTGTTCCACCGCGGTTTCGAAGGCGTAGAAGCAGAGCTTGGGCTCAAACTCGGGGTGTTCCAAGCGCCACGCCTCTCCGGTGCTGAAGTGTTCGCGGTAAGGGTCCGACGCCTGGCTGAGAAATGCGTATTTTTTTGTCTATTTTCCGTGCAAAATCTCGCCGAAACGATGGAATGAATCAAGTTTTTTTTTCAATGCACCAGGTCGACCTCTGAGCCTTTAAATAGTTCTGTTGTACTTTTTTCTAGCGATTGCAGATTACTATCCGCTCAGTAGAGTAGGTTAGTTGCGAAACACAGCCGCGCGCAAAACCCCTAGACTCAGCTGGTTCATGCTATATTCCGATGCGCGCCCTACTACATGTACATACATAGTCCTTTGACGAAAGAGTTCAAGTCGAAATGAACCGTGCGCACGCAATACCTGCTGGTGCGTCACTCGGCCGTGTACGCGTTGGGCTGGGTTTGACGGTATCGTGATGCGTCAGCTCGTCGCAATTTAGATCGGGTGGTTACTTTATCGTGCCCCTCCCCTGGGGTACCCGTGACAGTGGTCGATTTCCTCGGCGGCAAAGCGGTGTTCCAGGGAGTTTGTTCCGGCAAAGCAATCAAAACAAGTGTATGTGACATAATAGTCTATAGGTTACGTGCTGGAAACATGTTCAGATCTTGCCTTCAGCACGTCCCAGCGCTCCAGGCGTGAAGGCCGCCCGTCAACCGTTCTAGGCCAAACGTGGGCCGACCCCGCTCTGCCGACAGCCTCAGACACCGCCTGCGGCACTTGAAAACCCGCCAGTACCTATTT